GGGGGGGGGGGGGGGGAAGGTGCCTCCTTACACATTTTTTCGTCATAGGATCTTGCGACAAAGGCCATATCGGTGAGGAAGTCGAACATGGCGATAGCGGCCACCATGACGCTGACGACGTTGGTGGTCTTCTCGTAGTAGGCCCGCGACACCGACGCCATGATGAAGCACCCCAGGAAGATGACGGCAGCAGCGACGATCCACCCCAGGGAGGGCCAGTTGATCTCCATGGGGCAGCTGTCGCCCATGGGCACTCGGACGTCCTTGACCTTCAGGACGAACAGGGACAGCGCCGTGTAGCGCTGGCGGTAGAAACCTGATGCCGTGCCGCAGACACACACACACATACACACAAATGGCATGGTGGATGGAGTCCCTCTCTGTGTGGGAGTATGTGTGCTGCTTACTGCTGTCGCATAGAAGGCCCTCGTCTGAAAGTCAAAGAGAGAGAGGAGGACGCCGCCATGCAACAGAGCGTGTGTGTGTGTGTTCCCCATCTCACTGACCGAGGCGGTCTCTCGGGCACAGCGCCGGCCCGGCACCCCAGTCGCTGTGCGGGTCGTCCTTCGGCACCCACTCCTTCACGTCTTTCCAAAGCTGACAACTGCACACACACACAGACCCCAACGAGCAGTGGACGGAGGCACATGAACCAATAGATGGCGACAGACAGACAGACAGACAGATAGACAGACAGACAGACGGACTCACATTTTGGAGCCCGTCGAGAAGTGCTCGCACCCCTCCTCGCCCTAAACGAGTAAATGAGTCACACCGCCATCCATGAGTGTCTAGAGGGTGTGCGTGCGTGGGCTTGCCTGACCTGGCAGAGCAGCTGGCACTCGCGCGGCGCCGTCAGCCGCACCCGGTGCTCCTGCACACCACACACAACACACCACACACGACAAACCACCTGTCTGTGGTGCGTGTGTATGTGTATGTGTGTGTCTGTACCCGCAAGAGCACGGCGCTGCCCTCGGCAGTGGTGTTGGTGTCCTCGTCGTGCTCGTAGAAGGGCACCGTCCCCTCCCAGTAGCACCCACACTGGTTCACCATGTCATAGGACTCTGAACACAACACAACACAACACAACACACACACGCATCGCATCGCATCGCATCGCGTCGGTTTGTGTGAGAGTGGGAGTGTGGGTGTGGGTGTGAGTTTGAGTGTCAGGTCACCTACCTTGTGAGACGTTGAAAGTGGGGTATGACTCGTAAAGGAGCTGGAGGGATGAGAGCAGCCCCTGTGCCTTGAGGCGGCTGACGTCGGTGTCTGACGGGGTGAGGAGTGAGGGCTGCCCGCACTCCCGGCCGTTGAAGAACCCGACAGTCGAACCCTCAGAACACACCTACAGTGGAGTGCATCAGATTCGTTGGGGCAATGCAGTGGAATGGCTGGCTGGCTGTGTGCCTTGCTTGTTCTGTCTCTCCCATCCATCTCGGCCACGTCACCCACCTTGTTGCCTGCACACAGCACACAGAAAGAGGCGGACCAAGGACGAGAGGGAGAGAGATACACACGTCTGGATGTGTGTGGTCCAGCCCCACCCCCTTCTCTCTCTCTCTCTCTCTCTTCCTCACTGACCCCATCTCGCCCGGTTCTTGAGGTAGCAGATGTTGGGCTTGGTGTACTGGAAGTAGCGGCACTCGCGGGTCACGTAACCTGCACACACACACACACACAAACACACACAAACACACACCGGCCACCACACCACACCATTGAACGCATTGCACTGAGTGTGTGTGTGTGTGTGTGTGGCGACACTCACACACACACACAGACACACACACACAGGCATGCATACAGACATACACTTGGCTTGGCACTCTTCCATGGTGAGGTTGGCGTCGGTGTACTCGTAGGAAATGCCGCTCCTACACACACACACACACACACATGGCGAGCAGCGACGGATGCGCCCTCACCTTAACCACCGCACTCACCAAAGCAGCCGAATGTTGTGCTCAAAGCAGGGACGCCTCGCGTCGACTGCGCACACAACACACCATTTGACAGACACAGACACACACACCGGTTAGTTGTGTGTGGACTGCCCATGTGTATGTGTGTGTGTGTGTGTGTGTATGTGTATGTGTGCGTGTGTGCGTGTGTGTGTGTGTGTTTCTGTCTGTCTACTTGGTCTGCAGTCCTTGGTGTCCCTCTTGCCGCTGGCGATGAACTGCTCGTTGTGCTCCCGCATGCTGGACCACTGACCCGACGACACGCCGGACATCAACGAACACGGCGGACGATGCAGCCTACAAGCACAAGACAGACAACCACACAGAGCTGCACGATCCATCCATCCATCCATCCATCTCTCTCTCTCTCTCTGTGTGTGTGTGTGTCTGTCTGTCTGTCTGTCTGTCTGTCGGTGTGTCTGTCTGTCTGTCTGTCTGTCTGCGCCCACCAGTCGAAGCTCCACGCCTTGCAGTCGTCCCGTGCGTCACATTTCTCGGCGCACTGGTCCACCAGCCACACCTCCTCCAACGGCAGCGGGTCGGCGCCCTCCAGGAACGTGCCATCCAACAGACGCTGCCACGTCTGCACACACACACACATCACACACATCCCATGCACAAGCAGACAGAATGGCAAAAGCCAAAGGGAGAGAAGCAGAATTTCCGTGTGTGCGTGTGTGTGTGTGTCACTGTCCTCACCCAGCACTCTGTGTCGAGCTCATCCATCGTGATGTTGAAGGGCGGCGACTCGCCTGGCTCCTGCCCGTCAGATCTGCCAATCAGGCAGCACAGCAGCAACACCGCAGCCCCCGTTGACCGCCCCATAGCCAAAAAAGCCCCCGGAATGGTCCGGAACAAGTGCGAGCTTACGAAGGGGGTGCAGCTGAGCTTGCGATCTTTCTGGGCGTTTTTCCAGTGTCTGGGAGCGCGGGCGCAGGCGCTTCCTTCATCGCAGTCTTGGGTGCGACTGTATTGTGAGAATGGCTACCGCCCGCAAGGGCTTCGCATCTGTGTGATCTCCGCTGCATGATGTCGCCGTGAGTCCGTGCGCTCATCGCTCGAGCCGTCATCGCCACCACCAGCAGCAGCAGCCATGGCGGACCCTCTTTCCACAGATCCATCCATGAGCACGATGGTGCCCTCGAGCAGCAGCAACAGCGGCAGCAGCGGCGACATGAGCATGAGCATGAGCATGAGCATGAGCATGACCATGACCATGGCCGCCCCTACCAACCAGATGCAGCACCCCTACCCGTACCAGCAGCTGCAGCCTCAGCAGATTGGGGCGCGCCTCGTCGCCATTGGGGCGCCGGTGCAGGAGCACTCCTGTGAGCATGTGCATCCGTATCTGTGCCAACGGGTGGGTGATGACCACACAGATTGACCACACAAACGAAATGCAGCAGCGTGTGTGGATCTGTGTGTGGTGTGGTGTGGTGTGCAGGTGGCTGAGGAGGTGCCTGTGGGTGTGGGTGTGCCTGTGGGTGTGGGTGTGGGGGGTGTCGGCGGCGGCGACCGAGTGGCGCCAGTGCCAGTGCCTCTGCCCCTGTCGGTGCCTGTGTCTGTCGTGCCCATCGTTCCCGACAAGAGGCTGCTCCTACCGCCGCAGAAGCGGCAGCAGCAGGAGCCTGTACCAGTACCTGTACCTGTACCTGTGAAGGAGGAGAAGGAGAAAGAGAAGGAGAAGGAGAAACACACGAAACGCACGGGACGGACCGAAGGTGAGAATCGATGAATGGATGGGTCACCGCACACACACACACACAGAGAGAGAGAGAGAGATCTGCGTGACGATGTGTGTGTGTGTGTGTATCACATCCCAGGTGTTGGTCGTTCGTCCTCGAGTGGGTCAGAGGGTTGGGATTTGTCTGAGGATTTGCAGCTGGTGCATCTGCAGTTCGTGCTGGGCAACCAGTGGAAGGAGATCTGCACACACCTCACTTCACGGTCGGTCAGACAATCAACCACAGAGGACAGGGACCCTCCTCTCACACACACACACAAAGAAACAGCAAGACAAGACAGCAGTGAGTGCCTCATTCTGGTGTCCCTGTGTCAATCCCTCAATCCTGATTTCAGCACCGACAATGCCGTCAAGAATCGCATGCCCAAGCTCAAGTAAACGACACACACCACACCACACCACACCACACCGACGCCTCTCCCCTCTTCCCCTCTAAATGGCTATTTCGTGTGCTGTCTGTCTAGGCGCCGTCTGATCGCTGACGCCCCCGACGACCCGCTGTGTGCGGCCCTTCACCAGCAGCAGGGCGGCGAGAAGTACATCCGCAACGCAAAGCGAGAGGCCGGCAACGGCAGCAGACACACATCGGCCAAGAGCCGTGGTGGTGGCGGTGGTGGCGGCGGTGTTGGCGGCTCGAGGGCGGGGTCGTTTCCGTACCGTGGTGCTAGAGAGACATATGAGTGGCGCGGCAGCAGTGGCGGCAGTGGGAGTCGGGGTGGTGAGGTTAGGGTCAAGAAGGAGGACGACACCGAGGATGGGACATCTACCGCAGGTGTGTCAGGGGGGAGTGTGTGCGCGTGTGGAATCAATCGATGGCGTGTACCTCTCTCAATCTGTCTCTCTGTGTGTGTCTGTCTGTGTGTGTGTGTGTTTAGGTATTGACATTGATGGACTGTTCGGCGCGCCCCACATGCCAGCCGCAGTCAAGATCGAGCCCACCGACAGCAAGAAC